AGTAGCACTGCTATTTATAATTTTAAATATGATTTTATTCTTTCATAGAATAAAAAAAAAAGACCAAACTGTACACAATATACTAAGCGAGGCTTAACTAGGGAGTTTTATAAAAAAAATATATTTCCTTTGAATTGTAATCAATATCTTCATACATGTATCATTAAATTCTATTAGTTGTATGACTATGACAAGATTATAGATTATTTTATTCTGTCACAATATTGAGTAGGTTCCCATCCATATTAAATCTGTGATCCAAATTACAATAAACAAAATATAGCAATCACTATAACTAAAGATTATTTGCCAACTATTTTGTCCAATTTACCATATGACCCAAGTTTTTCTGAAATACCTAAACCTTCCTAAGAGTTTAATGTCATCAGAAAACTTTACTAATTTAATTTGTATGTCTCTATTAGTACCATTATTAATGTAAGAAAAAGCAGAGGTCCAAACACTGGCCCTTGAGATAAACCACTAACAACAAAGGCCCAGTTAATAACAACTTTTTCTTGCTTTCTCTAACCTAGCCATTATCCAATCTAATTAACTAGTATTTCCCCAAATTGCACTGTAGGATATTTAATTGTTGAAGCGAGTTCAGAGAAGAGTTACCAGAATGATTCCATATGGAGACAGGTTGAAACCTCTTAACATGTTTCACTGGAACCTTATCAAAAGCAATCTCAGAGTCTATATTCATAACAAGGATACTTTCAAACAGTTACACTGACAAGCAAAACCCCCGAACTCCAAATACTTGTTACTAAGACAAAAAAAAAATGTTTCTAACCAGCACATCTTTTTTACCCAAATCTATTATAATCAATACTCAAATATACCAAGATGAAAACAATTGTCTTACACACAAATAAAAAATACTATAACCATCATATAGGTTTATGCTATGTAGATTTGGGCCTATTTTGGTAATTTGTATATAGCTTTAGTCTTAAATTATTAAGATATTAATTTTTTTTTAAATAAATCATGCCAAGCACTACAATGACTATTACTATATAGCACTAGTATTACTGTACTGAGTATAGTATTTAGAAGTTAATGACATATCGTTAAAATTTTCAAATTATAACTTCTAAATTAAAAACTCCACTTTTTACTTTTAAGTTTTAGTACTACTAATAGTAATAGTAGGCTAACGCACCTGCAAAACTTTATCCTGTGCTGCTTTCACTTCAGTCAGTCCTATAAAATCTTCGTAATATTTCATCAAACGCGACATTTTTTCCACCATAGGTTCACTAGACATTTTAGGAGAGAGATAATTAGAAATTGAACTCATGTGTTTATTTATATTATAATGATTATGACAGATTTCAATAAAACGACGAGAGAAAATATATTTTAGACTACCAATTCTCGCCATTTCAATCTTACTTGCCGGCAGGTTTATACACAAAAATAAGTCAAATATTATTATGAAGAAAGCTGTGTAATAAGATTAGCTTAATAACTTTAATGTGTTTAAAGAATAAAAACAATCATTTATTTCAATTGAAGGATTCGATATGCATACAATATTTTAATTTTATTTCTAATCTAAGTAAATCAACAAATAATCTGCCCTAATGAGTTTGTTATCGAAATATTCAAATGAATTTCAAATTAAATCAATTTCACTAAAAATCAGAGTTCGATTCCATGCAGTAGACAAAGCACAGATAGTCCGTTGCGTGGCTTTGCGCTAAAACAATTAAGCAAACACCAAACCCCAAAACTGCAAGGAATCACTTCAAACATTTCTCATAATATCTCAAATTATCATTATCATTCCCAGTCTTGCGGCCATTGCTTTAAAGGAATAGGATCGACACTCAATTTTGTTTAAGGACAAGCCTGCATCTAGGTTTTCAAATCTATTGTCCAAGATTTTCAAGATAATATTTCCAATCCTTTCTCACATTCAAATAAACAATCCATAGACTATGCTTTTTTAATCACGTGTGTCTTTCTTTTTGAACAAAGGATTCCCCCAAATCCCTCCGAGGGACTGAATTATAATATATATAGTGTCTCTTCATACACACGTCACTTTTAACCTTTTATTCCGAAAAACGGTTCAAAGTTGTCCACTCTTGCAGCTAGATATTTCAGCCTTTTAATATTGGTGTGAGCTTTGTATGTGGTCATTGAAAACTGCCAGGTTTTACAATTCAATATCTTATAAATTAATATATGTTTACCAGGTAATTTGTTTGAAATTTTCATGCAGATTTTCTGCATTGATTTTAGGTCCTTGCAACTAGGATGTAGTCTGCACAACCTTATTACCCTCTTTGCCTCTGCGATCCCTCAAGAGGGCTTATACTTATCTTGTCAGTCTTTTGTATTCTTTTCTTCATGGCATGTGAGCTTAAGCAAGAGGAGGGGTGGTGCAGATGTCTTTACAGATTAGTCTGAGTAAGGAATTAATCTCTTCTATAATGTGTAAGAATCAGAGCCGTATTTAGGTTTTGCGGGGCTCTAAGCAGAAGATGTTCAAGAGTCTCTCTCTCTCCCTATCTCTTTCAAATGAAAAGTAAAAGTAAACTGCAGGAGCAGAGCGAAGCGTTCATCGGTGTATGGTATTCTCAGGTGAGACGGATTTATCTCGAGATAGGTCTGCATAATAACGGGAGATTCGAACAAGATGTTTATTACAGAATAGTTCAAAATTTCTCTGAAACAGAGTTTGTGAAAAGGAACAACCTTTATTATTCAGAAGACAAATACAGTGTGCGTCCCTATTTTACTGAAATTGAGCTGTTTTTCTCCAAACTGCACTCGATAAAGATTGCTATCAAAATGAACAACTATAATGCTTCTTATTTATTTAATGTCAGACTTATCCAGAGCGATTAGTGCTTTTTCACATAATTGGTCATTTTCATTCAAACTTAAGGAAGGTCGCAGCCTTGAGGTATGGCATTTTTGTCTTACTGTATTATTATAGTATTTATTCCGAATTTATCATTTATTCTGTACAGGTGCTGGTTTCGCTTAACACCTGGTCGAAAATGTCCTGGTGTTGTTCTGCAATTTTAGGTGATCGGCTATCCAGCTTCCTGCAGAAATTCTTGTGGTCACACTAATCCAAGTCCAAGTGATCAAGGCTAATAGTAACACTAAGGTTCCATATATTAAGCTACATCCACGAGTGAGTAAATAATTGCCAATACATCTGATATTGCTAGCTGAAGGTTACAAACAATCGAAGTAATGCAATAGCAACAACTCAGTGATTTGTTGGTTGAATATGCCAATGTATTCATGAGACCGTATGGTCGATTAGGTTAAACATCAGTAAGTCACCACTGCATAGATACAGATGATACAAATGCTATGACAAGACAGTTAAGGAACAGATGTACCAACATGAAAATTTGGTGTGGTTTTGGTATATGTCAGTGGCACAGCAGTAAATTAGCAGTGACTGAACAAGCCCTTATCCAGGGGCGGATTGGGAGCCTAAAACGGCCCGGACAAATACTAAAAAAAATCAGGATGATATATATATAGAAAGAGAGATGTACAGTAAGCTAGTCAATAGCTCAATCCGCCCCTGCCCTTATCTCAGACTACAACAAAACAGTTCAGTGATCTATGGATTACAGTGGTCGAGAGGTGCATTTAAGTACATGGAACATGTCAATGAGCTGTGTATTTTATAGACGAATCACTAGTGCACTTTTTAAAACATAAATAAGAAGTTGAGACTGATGAGTTAGAAGAGGACAAGAGAACTGTGTCTTATTATCTCGACTCAACCAATGAGAAGGAAATAACTGAAAGTTCTTATCTGGTTATGCATGACGAACCAAATGAGGAAGCTTCAGAGTTAGATGCGAGAGACAGTCCCACAGTTAGTTGAGTCGCCATCAGGGGTCTTCTGATTGGGAAAGCTGTCATTAACTAGGTATCAGCAGCTAGGATGGCCATGTGTCTGAGTAAAACTATGGCTAAATGAAATAGAGTTTATAACTTTCCAAGCTGTCGAAATGTGTGTGTATTACATTTGGTGTTTACCACTCGATTACCAGTAGTTAAGATGGTTTATTGATCATGATATCAGCCGGAGCAAAGGGCCTTTGTGACCCTTATTTTCGGAGCTATTGACCAGAGTTTCACTATAAGATATATCTGTATGATATCTTATGTTATTTGCTCGATTATGACAAAGTTGAAGGTGAATGGTACTGGTAGATGTAAGGCCTAAAAACAAACAGTTTGCTCAACTGAAAATGAGCGCAAGGAGTTTGAAATGATGAATGAATGAACATAAAAGATATGTTAAAAACAATAATATTACTATTTCACCTTTAGCAGAACATATAAATGAAACTAAACACATAATTCAATGGGAAAAATTGTTATTTTAGCACAAAATGAACATTTAATTAATATGAATATACGTGAATCTATTGAGATAATTGAATATAAAAAAGTTAATTTAAAATATTGAATAAGGATGATGGACCTGATGGAAATGTTGTCAGTAGATAGTGTGAAATTCTTTAATATGTAAATTAGTGATTTGGTAATGGTATAAGTAAGTGTTTTGTATTTTAAATGTTACATTTCTGAGGATGATGCAGTGATATATGTCAAAAGATGTAGAGTGTATGAGTCTCATCGGTTTTTTTACAGTACAGTAAAATATTTATATTTGATTGTAATTTTGAAACTGGAAAGTCCCATTTTTAGAATTGTGTAAAAAAATTATCGTTACCTTAAAAAAATTGTGAGTATTTAATAACCTAATATAATATAAGTTGCCCATTTACGTAATCTTCCCACAATCTCGCCAAACATTTTGTGTCATCTTAAGTCAAAAACATTGTGTGATTGTAATTTTTATACATCGCGTTTCTTTCAATTCTAAACTAAGCTTAAGTTGAACGTTAGTACTACACTTGACCTAAAAATATCTGAACGTTACCCTATTCAAATTGTTATTTTGTTACAATTACGTTTACTTAAAGTTGTAATTACTTTGGGGCGAAACTTAATACATTTATTTATCGGTAATATGAACATGATATCTTCAGATGCAGTTGACCTTCAAGATTTTTCAAACACAAACCATAAAATCAGTAACTTAAGGCATAATTAATATTTCTTAATTTAATACCTCTGAATGTTTTTTTCATAAATATAAAACTTTCACTCATTATGCATGCCATTTTCAAATACTTTTGAGACTGCATCTCTTACTTGTAAAACAAATATTTTCCACCTTGCGTAGAGCTAAAGTTCTACAAAAAAAAGGTTCCGATGCTAAATGTTATGGTAAAAGACTTTATGTGTACAAATACTAGTTAAGTATATCGGAAAAGGCAAAGAGAAATCATTAAACCTTAACGATACCTCTTAGTCTATTACGATATGATTCAAATTAAAGATAATCTTTGGATTGTGATGAGAAGAATTAACTACTTAAGGTATTTGGACATCTCTACAAAACCCAAGTGCATCTATTCGACGCACTTGTATGATTTATTTTATTGAATTGTGGGGAACTTCCTAAATAAAATAGTTATAAAGTCCAGAATTACTTTCTACAAGATATGTAGCTTTTACAAACATTATACGTTGTTTTCCCCAAGGCCTCTAGGAGGGATCATCCACTTGCACCCTTTTAGTGTAGTGTGTTGTTCGTCAGAAGATCGGTAGATACTAAAATCACGTCACATAAGGGACGCTTAACGTTGCAATTTCTACTGTCCCGACGTCAGTAAAACGTGCGCATGCCATCAATCACGAGAAGAATTATGCATCGTGTTGTTGTTCTTTGTTATTAAGAGCAAAGCTACACAAAGGGCTATCTGTGCTCTGCCAACCACAGGTATCAAAACCCGGTTTCTAGCAGTATAAGTCCGCAGACATACCACTGTGCCACTGGGGAGCATTATTATTTACTGTATAGGCTACAACACAGAATGACATATGAAGTTCAAAAGCAAGAATTAAAATACTTGTTACTCTTAGTTTTCGTTTTATTTAGTCTTGATACAGAACACTTTCGGGGACCCTACCGAAGTATTTCTCGTTTTTATATTAATATATGTGACATTTGCATGATTTCGCAGCTATGAAATTTAGAAAACATTTCATTGTAATGTTTTTTAAGAAATCATTAACTTACCTTTTCTTTGTTGTAGATTTTAGTTACTGACTTTACTCCTTCCTAAGTTATTTTAAAACTTTCTGATTATTTCATATGGTGTAAAACTGAAAATTTTATTTTTGTTTTCATTCGAAAAACAACACACCCAGTTTGACTATTTATAATCACTGGCATACAACAAAACTAATTTTTACCATACACAAGTTTTAAACGAACTTGATTTGATGTATGCAGTGAAATTTAAAGCCATTTAATTGTCATTTTTGTATATAT